TGAAGCATTATCAATGACATGACCTTAAGGTACCTTCCTAAGAAGTTTTCCCTTTTTGAAGAAGTCTTTAATAGCCATAATCACATCTTCGTCTTGGCCTACTCCCTACTAGAATTGTAAATCTTCGTCTTAGCTTTTACTCTCTCTTTTTGTGTGGTCATAGGTACCTTAAGGTCATGTCATTGAATTACCAGAAATCTTTCTTCCTATTCCTTACTCTAGTTAGAGCAGTTTTTGCCGGCTTAGTTGCAGATACATACTTGGAGGCCATCTCTGTCACTTCTTTCAAGAAAATTATGATGAGTAACCCATCTCCAGTACTTAATTACCATTAGTGAGCAATTCATGCATCACAAAATAGTTTCGTTGTTTTCAATTATGAACAGTTTGTGAAAAAAAATTGCTTATTTCCTAAATTTAATTTTGGAGAAACATGAAAGCTTATATTGTGGTAAAGTATCTAACAAGGAGGTGCTTTTTAATTGGTCGGCGGGTGGGACTCCAAAAAGAAGCAAAGAATGGCTCGGTTGATCTACTCAATTGTGCTGCAGGTATGATGAACTCGAAGGAGATGAAAAAGAAGAGATTGCTTGTTTAGCATAGGATGGTGATCTACAATAAGTTGGCACGGTCATTGGCTCCTGAAATTTGTGGACATGAAGGTAATAAAGAAGCTCTACTTCACCTTGTGGGTATTCTTTCTCGGAGGTTGAAGGATGGGGATGTAGGTAGAAGTAATCTAGTGATATAAGAACGCCTATGGGGAGATTGATTTTGCTTGTCACTACAGCAGGTGGTACAGTCCAACTAGCACTGTGGAATGATTTGGGATACATGGTAATACATATTTTCATTTTCTTTATATAAGAAGATATGAAATTATAGTAGTAATTTAAATAGAACGAAGTTACATAAGTAGACCATCAAGGCATAATGAAAGCCAAAATCCAATGGGGAGTGCAGTATCCTATGCAGTAATAAAATGTGTTAAGCTTGATTGCTGAAGCTATTTGATTTTGACAATTAAAGTTATTGCTTCTTTTTTATTTTTGGGTAAGTAGGCTTTTATAGAAAGGGGAAAAAATGTACAAAAGGCTTAAAAGTCGGCCAACCTAACTCAGGACAAGCCCTGGGTTAGTAAAGTTATTGCTTCCCATATGCCATGAAGGATTTTCTGGAGTTATGACAAGAAATTTCAGTGCGCCATTAACTACAGGGAGGTTCAATTTTTAAGCTGATGGAAATGATGCTTTTTTAAAGCAATTTTCGTTTTTGGGCTCCAATGTTATACGAAACATAATCTTCTCTCTTTTTTAATTTAAATGACAATTTTCTAATTCTAATTTTTGATTCAGGTCAATTTTTATGAGTAAGACTAGACTTCTCAGGTAGACAGACAAGCTTTGTAGTGGGCACAGTGGATTTATCTCTTTGAGACAATTCTATTTCTAAGAACTCAGGTGGACTCATCCTAATCTTGTTTTCTCTTTCTTGAAGAGGTTTGTGCATAAATTTATGTGCTTTATGACCTTCATTCTAAATGCTTCCTCTTAACTATCTAGTTCCATATGGGAATTTGGAGTTCTCATATGACTATTTAATGGCAATTTGCTGATTTTGAACTTCAAAGTTCCAACCTAAAGATCAATATGATGTGATAAAAACAAGTAATCAATTGCATAAAGTTTTAAGCTCTAAATCATTAAATCGATAAAGATTAATTGACAAAATTTTTGAACAACATGCAGATATTGCATCGTGTCTCTTTTCACTATTCTCACTTAATGCACCTTGTTTCTCTCCTTAATAAATATCAGTGCTCTTGATTTTTTAATCTTTATATATATTTTTTTTTTGTGTCTAGGTAATAGAACCATTTTTACCCCTATCCTGGTATTGAGCCTGAACCATTTGAAGAATGTGAGTACCTGGTTCATGTATTTTTTTTCATCTTAGTTTTGGTAGACAAAGGATGTGGATGTTTGGAGTCCATTTGTTTTGTTTGCTTGGAATAAGAAAAACTTTTGCTGCTTCTATGTCTGAAATTTTTATTTGCCTTACTTTCTTGTTACATATTTTACTTCCGGTCAAAATGTTGTCTCAATTGACTTCCTAATCAAGCTAATGGTGAAGCTAAAATTTTGGACCAACTATTTGAAAAGTTGTATGTTTCCAGGCTATTGCCTAGACGGTCTGTTACTGGGTTTTGTGTTTTTGTTGGAGGAGATCTTATTTCTTGGAAAAGTAAGAAACAATCGGTTGTAGCTAGATCAAGTGCAGAGTCTGAGTATCGAGTTATGGCACAAGTTACTTGTGAGCTTATATGGACAAGACATCTTGTTAGAGAAATTGGGTTTTGTCACACCACTGTGCCCACTACAAAGCTTGTTTGTCTACCTGAGAAGTCTAGTCTTACTCATAAAAATTGACCTGAATCAAAAATTAGAATTAGAAAATTGTCATTTAAATTAAAAAAGAGAGAAGATTATGTTTCGTATAACATTGGAGCCCAAAAACGAAAATTGCTTTAAAAAAGCATCATTTCCATCAGCTTAAAAATTGAACCTCCCTGTAGTTAATGGCGCACTGAAATTTCTTGTCATAACTCCAGAAAATCCTTCATGGCATATCGGAAGCAATAACTTTACTAACCCAGGGCTTGTCCTGAGTTAGGTTGGCCGACTTTTAAGCCTTTTGTACATTCTTTCCCCTTTCTATAAAAGCCTACTTACCCAAAAATAAAAAAGAAGCAATAACTTTAGTTGTCAAAATCAAATAGCTTCAGCAATCAAGCTTAACACATTTTATTACTGCATAGGATACTGCACTCCCCATTGGATTTTGGCTTTCATTATGCCTTGATGGTCTACTTATGTAACTTCGTTCTATTTAAATTACTACTATAATTTCATATCTTCTTATATAAAGAAAATGAAAATATGTATTACCATGTATCCCAAATCATTCCACAGTGCTAGTTGGACTGTACCGCCTGCTGTAGTGACAAGCAAAATCAATCTCCCCATAGGCGTTCTTATATCACTAGATTACTTCTACCTACATCCCCATCCTTCAACCTCCGAGAAAGAATACCCACAAGGTGAAGTAGAGCTTCTTTATTACCTTCATGTCCACAAATTTCAGGAGCCAATGACCGTGCCAACTTATTGTAGATCACCATCCTATGCTAAACAAGCAATCTCTTCTTTTTCATCTCCTTCGAGTTCATCATACCTGCAGCACAATTGAGTAGATCAACCGAGCCATTCTTTGCTTCTTTTTGGAGTCCCACCCGCCGACCAATTAAAAAGCACCTCCTTGTTAGATACTTTACCACAATATAAGCTTTCATGTTTCTCCAAAATTAAATTTAGGAAATAAGCAATTTTTTTTCACAAACTGTTCATAATTGAAAACAACGAAACTATTTTGTGATGCATGAATTGCTCACTAATGGTAATTAAGTACTGGAGATGGGTTACTCATCATAATTTTCTTGAAAGAAGTGACAGAGATGGCCTCCAAGTATGTATCTGCAACTAAGCCGGCAAAAACTGCTCTAACTAGAGTAAGGAATAGGAAGAAAGATTTCTGGTAATTCAATGACATGACCTTAAGGTACCTATGACCACACAAAAAGAGAGAGTAAAAGCTAAGACGAAGATTTACAATTCTAGTAGGGAGTAGGCCAAGACGAAGATGTGATTATGGCTATTAAAGACTTCTTCAAAAAGGGAAAACTTCTTAGGAAGGTACCTTAAGGTCATGTCATTGATAATGCTTCAATTGCTCTTATTCCCAAGTGTGATAATGCTTCTTTGTGTAAGGACTATCGGCCCATTTCTTGTTGCAACATAATTTATAAATGTATCACCAAAATCATCGCAAATAGAATTAAGAGTGTTTTACCTCTCTTCATTGATCTGGCACAAGCAGCCTTTGTTGGTGATAAGAGAATAGGAGATAATATCCTCTTATACCAAGAGCTGGTGCACAACTACAATTTAGCTTCGGCCAAGGAAAAAAGGTATGCCTTGAAAGTTGATTTAATGAAGGCTTATGACTCGGTTAATTGGAAGTTTCTCTTAAAAGTCCTAAAGAATTTTGGATTCCTGAGTGTTCTTGTCAATTGGATATCCAAATGCATCACAACTCCTAGGTTCTCGTTGATTATCAATGGGGAGTCGGTGGGTTTTCTTTGGGAGCTCTAGGGAGCTGAGACAAGGAAATCCCTTATCCCCTTGTTTGTTATTGCTATGGAGGTTCTCTCTCGGCTCTTGAATAGAGTGGCGGCTAATCCGAGTTTTAGTTTTCATTGGAGATGCAAGAAAATGGGGCTGACTCATCTTTGTTTCGCGGGTGATCTCATGCTTTTGTGTGAAGTTGAAGGTACTTCTCTGTCTCTCTTTAAGAATGCTTTAATTACCTTTGAAAGTTGGTCCAAATTGAGTGCAAATCCCGATAAGAGCAATATCTTCCTTTCTGGTGTAAGTGACAATGAAAAGATGGAGCTCTTAAGTTTGATAGGATTTGCCGAGGGTAGTCTTCCCATCAAATACTATGGGATACAAAATTAGGCAACCATTGTCATTGCCTGCTCTCATGGACCTAGAAAAACCGTGCAGCTTTAGTGCGCAAACTGATGGAGGTTGGCACTAAATAAGCCTGAAAATAAATCACAAACACTCGAAAAACTCTTTATATTTGCTTGGAATGAAGGCTTGTGATGTTATCAAATGAGCCTTATCGTTATTGCAACACAACTAGTTTGTTGGAAGGTCCAGGTACTTGCTTGGTCAAGCAAAGTATGTTAATACATAATGAGATAAATATGCTCATGTATTCTACAGTACAGTAACATATATACAGCTGGAATAACAAAAGTTACTAATATTGGTGTTGTTCCCACCATTCTCGACGTGCAACTCTGCTTTCTACCCAAAAGATAAACTTCTAGATTCCAGGGCATCAAACTTGGACCATGGCTGCATCCCAAGGTTCCTTAACAGTAGCACATCAGATGCTTTTATTTGAAATTAGGTTTTGCATCCACTGGGAAGTTTGGTGCATGTATCTCGATGTTCTAGTATATCCACTTAGGATTTATATTAGCACACCACTCTGACAGAGTTGTATATCTTGACATATTTCCCAGCTGTGTTGTTCCAGCTATTGTCAATTTCCATAACCTTCTGCACAGTACTGTTCCATTCATCTGGTTCTGCATAGAAACGAAGTGACTAAAACTTATGAAGCATAATATTTTGCTCCCCTACATGAGATGTAATACAGACACTATTTTAGTTCACTATCAATTTAAATGAGGTTTAGTATCATTGTTAGTGTTTGTTTTTGAAAATGAAACAAAAAAGTTAATTTTGTATCTTAAAAAATTAAATATGCCTTCATTATCATTTTCTGAAAATAGTATTTGAAAATCAAAACAAAACGACTTTACCATGTTTTCCTTGTTTTCTTAATTTTGGTTTACACATGTTTTCTCCTATTTCTCCGTTTTGGTATTTCGAAATGAAAGTGGTTTGTGAACAAAAATTATGCATTTTCCACTGAGAAAAATGTAGAAAACAGAAATGGAAAAGAATGCAGCCTTGACTAACTTAAGAAGAAATGACAGGTTTTTGACTGTTTTGAAGATAGACGGAACCAGTGATTACTTCCACAAAACCTTAAGCCAGGTTATAAAACCAGTATCTAAATTAGTCTGGCAACGAAGGAAAAGTTCTCAGTATTCATGAGATACTAATATCTGGATCCAAGGCTCATCCACCTCATTATTTAGCAATAACGCGCAAGCAATCAAAAGTCAACAGCCATGTATAGGTAACTATTCGCTATGCTTAGATTGATTTTGGTGGTAAAGAATAATTTGTTAACTGCATGACGTGAATATATTTTAAGTCCGGTGTAAATTTAACTTACTGTCTCTGTAGTATCTAAATGCCCTGTCTAGAGCCGAATTTAAGGATCCTTCCTCTATTCCTTCAAAGACAAACCTGGAAAAAGAAGGAAAAAAAAGGGTTAAACATGTTGCGAATGTTAATTTAGAGCATCAACAAATTTTAGAAAAATGAGAACAGAAGCAATTTCATTCTATCAATCAAGAAAATTCATGAAGAAAGAGACAGGAAAAGTCGAACAAATTTCAATGTCAATGAATCTTGCAGAATTTCATCTCACATGAGCCATTAATAACCCAGCTTTTGAATTTACAGTATATATAAACAATAAATTGATGTATTACACTACTGTTATATTATAATAAGCTTCATTTGAACATTCCTGCAAAATATCTATTATAAAGCCCAGCTTAATAAATTCCTGCATAAAAGAACTTTCTTTTATCATTTGAACATTTTTTTTTTAACACAAACACAAAGACATCCACCCACTTTATGTTAAAGAAAACAGATTGTGGCCTCAGTTTAGTTTTTGACAATGCATCAAGGTAGATTATATTTATAGAGCTATTCACAGAGTGTTCATGTCCATGAACACTTGTTAGGAAGAATTCAACAGTATCAAGAAAAAAAAAATCAAGAATTATAGAGCATACCCATTGGCCATCTCATGGTTTGACAAGTCATCCATGTCAAAGACGGTGTCTACAAGACCACCAGTCTTTCTAACAACTGGGACCTGAAACAATATTTTATTCCAAATGAGGCCATCTGCAAACTGTTAGTATATCCTGATAGCATATATTATTTAACTATTCTCAATATGATATTGTTTCGATGGAATGCAGATAGTTGGAGCTTAAAAATATTTGGATTTAAGGTTAGGTTTTCGGGATTAGTGGTATCTAAACTAGATGTTAGATTCAGTTTGAAAAAAAGGTTTATAATTCGAATTCCTCCACTAAATTAATTAAATTATAATAAGTTGTACTTGTATTTTTGTTTCATTGAAATGACATGCCAGTTGATTAGATTAATACCACCTTACATGAGATACTACTATTGGAACCTTATCTAAAGTTTAGTTTAGAGATTAATGGAGTATCTAAATTTCAATACAAGCAGCAAATCATGTCTAGGCAAAATGGTATTGTGACTAGCAAAGACAATTGAGAAAAAAAGTTAAATAAATGGAACAAAAGATACATATTACAATTACTTATTGCTACTGTAAATTATTTGGTGTTCATTGCTTCTTATGAGAAAAAAAAATAAAAAATTGTGCATTATTTTTGTGCAATCTAATCACTCAAATGAGTGCATACCGCTCCATAATGCATTCCAATCATTTGGGCAAGGCCACATGGTTCATATATGGATGGAACTAACACCATGTCTGCTGCAGCATAGAGCATGTGGGATAGCTCCTCACTGAATAACAAAGTCAATCACAAACAAGAAAAGGATATCCCATCAATAACAAAGTAAGGGTATTTAAATTGAGACATCAAAGCTTCAATAAGGATTACATGCTGCCTAAAAATACGTAAACTCAAAACTCTGAGAAAACAGTAGTATTAGCAACTGCAATATGAGCAAGTTTAGGAACAGCAAGTATAGTATTTGATTACAAGGAGAATCACCTATACATCAGTAAGATCTGGATACTTGAACCTTGATTATGCTACAAAAGATTAATAAACAGAAGTTGGTCAGTCTTCTTATTATTATTAATTTTTTGTACTAAAAAAAATAGCAGCAAAAATTTTCAAGTATCCAAAAGTATATTAACACCAAGAAATCCAAGCAATAACTACACATGGTTTTGGTTGAGTAAAAGACCAAGAAGTAGAAAGGTTTATAACAAACATTGAAACAAATGAGTTCACTATTGTCATCTCAAGGGATACAAATTCTAAAATTTAGATGGCTATCNTTGAGAAATGTTGTGAGACTATGTTTGAATAATGTGATTAATTGTTAAATGTTGCCTTGAAAATGTTGATGAATTCACATTAGCGAAAGTTTTATTGTTACTAAATGCGGGAAGTTTTGTTTGCATTTGGTGGAGATGAATTCTGATGTGGATGATGAGTAGTTGAAATGAGAAACGAAAAATGTGTCGAAATTGTTGGTTTTTGAGAAACATTATGAAATCACATGTTTACCCATTTTCTTTATATAAGTATTATGATTTTTAAATATGCCTTTTATAAAGAAGAAAAACATAAGTTTTATGAGAAAAGTGAGGATTGAGAAAGTAGAGATAAATGATTTTCAAACCAACGTAGTACCCGTCCCTCCCATATTATGTGATGACTCTGTGCATGCGTATGATTGGTCATTTGTTGGCCCAAGTGGGTCGAAGGCCCGAGCGAGGCTGATATCGCTAGACAAGATTTGATTATGCCGGCCCAGGCGATGCATGGTCTTGCTGGGTCGAAGGCTTGAGCGGCATCCGATTCCACCTACCAGGATTTGATTGTGTTGGACTTGAGCGTGCGAATTCCACCGAGTTCAAAGGCTTGAGCGATGTTTGATTCGGTCTAGCAGGATGGATTTAGCATTCAATCCGCGCGATGTTAGATCTTACTAGGTTGGATGGGTTGACTTTTGGGTACTAGTTGTGGTGAGAGTTTTCAGTGATTAGTATTAGATCTGTTTTTTAGTTAAGAATAGAAAACAGTTTTCAGTATTTAATGGTAAGGTAGTATCCAACTTAGAGGTTTTCAGTATAGTAAAATCTACAGTATTTAATTTAAAATTCAGTTATCAGCATAAATTTTTCAGTATTCAAAAATCAGATATCCATGCATAGTTTTTAGAAATTGGTTTTTAGTTTCATATAATCAAAATAGGTATCATTTATTAATACTAGTTTCATGAGACTAATTCAAACATTTGAAATATGATTTTAGTAATGTTGTTTTAAAGGCATGAGAAAATTGAGATACATGAGTATTAATTTGCAAGCATGAATATTGTTTGTACGTTCTAAAATGTCATTCCATAATTAAGCATTCATTGAGTGATGATGTGGATGTTTGCAGTATGATTTCTTTTTATAGATTTTCAGAATCAGATTCAATTTTTAGTATTAGTAAAACCATGGATTAATTGCGTTAATCACAATTGCACGAAGTCTCTGTTATGTACATGACATTCATAGAGCATTATTTCTTTTCAGAGATACATGACTGCATTTGATGTTTTGATGTTTGCAACACGACCTTTCAGAGTAATTATTTTTCAGAGTTATAAGTGTTCCTTCGAGTGATGACATAGATTGGTTGCAACATGATTTTTTTAGAAAAAACTGTTTACAGAAGCATGAGCATGTACAGTTATATTGTAAGGGTTTGAGAAAATTGCAAACATGTTTATTTGAAAGTGTTTTTGGTAAGCATGAAAAATCATTGTTGTATAAAAGCTTTTCAGAAGGATGTTTTTATCCAATCCCACACTCATTGAGTATTTTAGCTCACCTATTTTTAGAATGTTTTTTCCCCAGGTTCAGGAAGATCGTGTTGGGGAGTGATTCCTTTGGAGGTTAGGCCCACATGTCATCGTCTCATCATGTGTGTAAAATGTCATGTTTGTTCGGTAGCGGATTATGTTTTATTTCATATGTTTATCTCGTGTGACTGATTTTAACAGATATGAAAATTTGATACCTCACTCTTCAGGTTTCATAAAATGAATGTGCCATGTGTTTAGATTTTCAAATACGTTTATATTATATGGAATGTTTTTAATGACAAATTAAGAGAATGTTTTTATGAGAAGCATATCTGGAAAACATTTTTTTTTTTTAAATTATTTATGGGTTTTCACGGTTTTTCACATGGTACGACTTGGTCATCCAAGTCTTATAAGTGCGTTCAGAGCTTATAGGATAGGAAGGGTTGAGGCGAGTTGTGTCAGGCTCACCGAGGGCTATTTAAACAAGCTTTTGGGCCATGTAAGTCTACAAGTTCTTGGACCAAATTTAAACAAGCTTTTGGGCCATTTCTCCTAACCAGTTTTAAGGGCAACTTTTAAACAAGTCAAGGGCCAATCTCAACAAATTTTAGGCTTATTTTTTTTAACATGCAAACTCATGGGCCAATCTCCGTAAGTCATGGGGCAATAAATTCGTACAAGCTCAAAAGCCGAAATTTGCATCAAATTCCTACAAGTGTTTTGGCCAATTTTCTTTAAGAATTCTGTAAGCAAATTCACAGGCCGATTTTCATAAGTCATGGATCGCTCCTATAGACGGTCTTCCTTGACAAGTCATTGGGCTCTTAAAGTGTAATTACGTGGCTGATTTCATGGCGTTCCATAACCCACATATTGAAAGGGTATTACGTTGGTGGCCATTTATGTCAAGGAGGTCTACTGTTTCATCCAACGACCCATATAAGATTCCAAGTAGAAAAGAAAGCTTAAAAAAAAAAAAAAAAAAATCCACCTCAGTAGTGGTAATGGCTAATGGTCCAAATGGTCGATCTTTAGGTTCCCTAAAAACGTAGTTAATTGATTCTTGGGATTACTACTGAAATTTAAAGTCTTCACAATCAATTCTTGGACATTCAACAAATAGCCTAGATAGTTCATTCTCGAGATTACTCCTTAAAAGGCCCAAAAAGTTAATTTACAGGCAACCAAATACAAGTCCTCCCTTTTTTAAGGCTTTGGCAATTTTAAAAAAAAATCAATGTAAGACCACAATATCTTTAAGGCTCTTAAATTTTTTTATCAATGTAAGACCACTTTTTCGTAAGACTCTAACATTCTTTGTTAATGTAATATCGCCTTCTTAAAATAAAAATGCTAGAGTTTTAAAAGGGTGGTCTTACAATAATAAAGAATGCCAGAGCCTTAGGAAAAGGTGACCATGCATTGATAAGGAATGCTAGAGTCTTAAGAAATCACGATCTTACATTGATAAAGAATGTTAAAGTCTTAATGAAGGGTTGGTCTTACGTTGATGGAGAACATAGAGTCTTAAAAAAAGATGGATTTACGTGTTAGAGCCTTAAGGAACGGTAGACTTTGAATGATAGCCTGAGAATTGACTATTCCAACTTTGAATTGTGACAATAGTCCTAGGAATTGACTATTTAGGTTTTTACAGAACTTGATGATCGACAATACAGGCCTTCAGTCAAGAGTAAGGCCTTTTTATAAGTTTCATTTTGACTAAGAATCACGTATAGGCTTCATTGAGAGAAATGGTCATCAACATTAAACACACTAATGATATGGGTTGTGCAATGCAATGAAAGAGGCCCCATAATTACATTCCAAGTACTCAATGACTTGACTAGGAGAACCATTGATAAAGGTGACCCATGAATTTGCTTAGAAAATTGTTGAAAAGAATTGGCTCATGACTTGTTTAAAATGGCCTAAAAGCTTATTAAAAGAATAGGTCCAAAAGATTGTTTAAATTTGATCCCATAACTTCAGAACTTCTATTATTAAGTTCGCGTTCCAACTTTGCTAACTTGGCCCATGAATTAAACTATTAAGTGTCAAAAAAAAGTAGGCCATTTACTTGGATTACTTGCTCGAAAGAGTACAGCCCCATTTGTTTGAAAGCATTGGCCTAATACACAATTTGTAGAGAATGACCCAATATTTAAAAGAAGCTTGATGTTACCCCAAATTGCCAAAAAATTCAACCCATTGATTCAACGCTTTGGCCCAATACTTTTGACATGGAGTTTGGCCCATTACTTGAATAAAATAAGGGAAGTGGTTTTCCAACCCCCCAAATTTGATCAATACTCCCCATCTTCAAAATTAAACGAACGTAAAATTGTAATAATAAAAATAAATATAATAAAAACTTTTTAGGCAACAATATTGAAGAATCAAATTTCAGCCATTATTAAAAGCTTCAAGAAATTTGTCCAAAGAACAATATGAGAACTATCTGCAAAACCCTCACTTTTATTAGTAGTATTTTTTTCATCAAGTGATAAAAAAACATCACCATATATCCATTTTACAATAAAATTTCCTCTTTCAGAAATTAAATCTTTCATATTATAAATTTCATCAATCTAGATACACCTCTTCTCCTAATTTACCCATCATCAAATCTACTTTATTCATTGGTTGTATTTTTTTTTTAAGTTCCGAATCCTTTATTTATATATAATCAATGTTTTTCAAACTTCTTGAATCGGTTATAAAATTTAAATGCGTCAATATACAAGAAGAAGAATAACGAAACCTTGAGATAATTTTTTTTTTTTTAGAACAGCTCTATATCGTTATTATTGATTGAATTGGCAAGAATACTCAAACAAATTAATTTATTTTGTAATTATAGAGGTTACATAAATGGAGGCTGAAGATAGTTATTTTTTCATGGAGTTATATATATATTGAAAAGATCAATGGCTTACCCAAGAGGGGGATGAATTGGGTTTTTAAAAACTAATTCCAAATTTAAAACAAGAATATCCAAATTTGCCTCCTAAATTGCTAAGTCAATTTTCATGCAATTTGAGCAAATATGAAAACAAACTATGAAGAAGGGGAGAGATAGGATTACTACTAAGATTGATCGAGCTCTTGTGAATGAAAAGTGGGGCTGTGTGTTGGTAATTCCATAGCCAATTTCCTCTCCCAAGCATTTTGGACCATTCTCCTTGTATTGTTGAGT